ATGACTCCTGCGACTTGGTATGATTTCATGAACAAATTACCAAACTTTAATTTCAAATATTCAGAAGCATCTTTCATAGCCAATAATCAGTTGCCGGTATTTTGTACAAACTCGCAATGTGTTCTTCAACAAATTTTTAGAAATTCCTGCGGTGGTTTCCGTCTCGTAGCAGATTGTTTTGAATTACAGTCATATCAGACAGATAAACTTTTAGATTTATACGGTGAAATAACACAGACTTATCCGAACTGCTCTATTTCAAAATGTGTTACCGCATGAGATAAGAAAACGGCGATCAAAATGCCAGCAGCTGGAACATTTAATAGCGAGCAATGCATGCAGAAACTTAACATATTATTTACGAGGAGTACTTAACCAGTCTCAACGAGGTATTTATCTGTGAGGGATGTGCTGTCGATCTCCAAGTCAGCGTCGCCACCCCTGTATAATACAGGACGACTGGGAAAAAGCTATGAATAATATTGAGAAAGCTATATTGTCAATGAACTTTAAAAGACTTGCTCAAAAGCTTTATGTAAACAATTGTTGTTGTATTTATGACGGTGATGACGTTTTAAAGAATATTTCATTCTCAACTTTACGTGATAGAATAGAAAATTTGTGAGAAAAAATTGTTTTAGTAACTATTTGTGAGAAAAAATTGTTTTAGTAAGTATGTATTTTAATAAAAAAATGTTTTATTTATATTGAAATGTATCTTTATTTAGCTGTCAACTGTTTCATATTATGTTTTAAATGAATATCTCTTTACATTACTCTTACTGCTTAAGGCTTCATAAGAATACTCTTTTTTTATCGTTTACTGCTTATAGAAAATGATATGTTACTCAGGTTTTATACTAATGCATTGCAAGATTTTACATTTCATTTTAGTATTGGAAAAGTTTTACTGTTCCTAATGAATGGGATTTTCGTAGTGTGTACGTGGATATTTAGTTGCATTTATCTTAATAATGCTTGGGAATAATTTGATAATAGTCGCATAAATATACTTTCTTTTTAAATCTTAATTGAAAGTTAATTAAAATTTGTTAATGAGTATTTAAAATGTTAATTGTACTGCAAAATGATTCATGACTTTTTTGTATATACTGACAAGGCTAGATGAAGTTACTTTATGTTTTCGCACTGATAGTAAATCTGAAGCCGATAAAAAAATCTGTTAAGACTCATGTTTGGTAAATAAGTGCTTTCTATAGCACATTTTCTAAAATTTGTTGGAATTCCTGGGTAAAAGAACTTAAATTAGGTAAAGGTTCTATCTTCATTTTGCATAAAACAGTAAATATTCTACAGTGGACAATGTTTCTTCGTATTTAGTTCTTAAGAAAATAGTTCTAAGATAGATATTCGGTACCTGGCGGGAAATACTGCAGGCGAAGATGAATGATTTGAAAGTCTTGGAGTTGGAAAGTTGAATGATCTTTGGAGTTTTCGCCTTAGAAAAAGGTAATATTTAACAGCATTAATTAAATTACATACATAGGAAGTTTCTGTAATGTAAATTTTTATGTAAAATTATAGGAAAATGGAACACTTATTTGGATGTAATTGTATATTCTAAAGGGGTTATTCCTCATTAAATGGCTATTAGTAAGGAATATTTAATTGATGTAATGAGTATTTATGAATAAATTTCTGTATTCGAGATGGATGAAAGTTAAAATATTCGAAAATATAGCGGAGATTTTGGTAAAATGTCTCTTACTGTTTCTTTCTTAGATTCGTTCTGTAAATATAAGTATATTGGTAATGATATATGTTTTGTAAAGGTATGGTAGTGTTTCACAAGATTTCATTCATAAGAGAATAAATTGGTAAATAAATTAATGAAAACTGACACTCACGAAAGAAAATCCTAGTATAAGAAATTAGAAAAATAGACTATGTATGCAATTGTCTAGGGAAATTGAGTTGGAATTGAACTAGGTTCGAAGAAATGTGTTAACATTATGCACTAGAAATAAAAGTATATCGATTAAACATAATTTCAAGAGCTGAAATGATAACCAATGGATAAAATCTATAGTCATTCATCTCTCATTTGATACTGAAAATGTTTATCTTAGGAATTTCTTTGTGCATGTAACGTAAATAATCGGTAATTTCATTGAACGTTGCCATGAAGGCAGAAATACTCGTACTTGGTGCAGAAAAAAAAAGTGATAAATTTAAAATTTGCATAGTCGGGGCATTTAAAGTGTAAAAATGATGGTATGAATGCAGTGAATTAGCAAAAAATACCGAATTAAAAACGTTATATGGTAAGAAAATAGAGGAATTAAGCTAAAATTAAGGATATGTTTGAAATTACGAAGGTTAAAACGTAAGAAAGTAGTTAAAAAGTAAATGAAAGTCATGTACATAGTGTGAAAATCTAGCAAATTAGTTAAAAATTCAGAGTATGTTGGAAACTAAAAACATTAAAAAGTAGAAAAGAAGTTAAAATTTACATCTAAAGTTAAGTAAAGTTTAGGTATATGGTAGGAAAATATAATGAACAAGTTTAAATTAGAGTACTTTAAAGCACAAACATGATATGGGTGATGTCATCCTCCCCGAAAGCAAATCTTTCAAAATGGCGGATTCAGAGTAAGATAACGACCAAGATGGCGTTTCAAACAAGTTAGGTATATGGTAGGAAAAAATAATGAACAAGTTTAAAATTAGAGTACTTTAAAGCACAAACATGATATGGTTGATGTCATCCTCCCCCAAAGCAAATCTTTCAAAATGGCGGATTCAGAGTAAGATGGCGACCAAGAGGGCGTTCAAACCAAGATGGCGTTTCAAACCTTATATACATAATTAAGAACCATTTCAACCAAGGAATTGTGGGGTATCGCCTAAAGTACTGGATGCGGTGCCCCTCAATTCCTTTTTATTCATTTTTGCTGGGACAGCGGGTTCGATTCTCCGTGGAAAGAAAATATATATTACTTCTTCATTTTTTTTAAAACATCCTGTTAACTTTAGTAGATGTTATGTACACTAGATGGCGCCAGCAGCAACATGTATTTAAGAAAATCCAATAATGTTTTAAAAAATACCGTTTTTAACTCATTCGCTGCAAATAATAAAATGATTTTGAAAAATTCTTCCCATTAGAAATGAAATCACCCGCTTAGAAAAAATGTATTGGAAAAAAATAATTAATTTTCTAATTTAAAAAATATTCATTAAGAAAAATTAAAACTCCAAATGAACAAAAATAAATTAACACATAGAAAAGAAAAAATAAATAAAAGAGATGTGAAACATATCAAATGGTCGAAGAAATATTATCTGCGTCTTTTTATTTTTTAAAAATTTTTTCTGAAAGAATGCATGTCGAAAATAAAGATGGAAATATATTATCTTCCGTATTAATACTGTTCGTCTAAAAGAACCCCTTTCTTCCATAAACATTTTGAACGCTTTGTCATTTTTTTTTTTTTTTACAAGTACCCATTTTTATACCTCGTTGCTAAGTAAACCGTGGCTCAGCGGTTAAAGTGCGTGGCTGCAGATCCCGACATAGCGGGTTCGGGCGTGGCTGGTGATTTTTGAATCTGCGCTCTCCAGCAAAAAAAATCAAACCACGTGATTCAAAATGGCGGCTACTTCGAAGATAATTCAATAAATAATTTAAATTAAATAAAAGTAATTAGAAAGAAAATTAGATTAAAAAATAATCCAACATGGCGGCGACTGAAGCATGGCGGGAGTCATTCAAGATGGAGGATGAAAGACCACGTGTTCCAAAATGGCGGACGAAAACCGCGCGGTTCGCGTCTCCGCTTGCACCGCCTCTGAATTTGCACCAAACACCGCCTCCTGCTGCTGAACTCTCTGTTTCACACTACTTACGGTTCTGTTACTGTTTCCTTTCTACAAAGCAGTTTTAGCAAATATTTTAGCAAAGGAAAGAATTTTTATCATGTTATTTTTATTCATATCATTTGGATATAAATTTAAATTGCATGAGGTAAAGTATTTACTCTTCTGTAACTTATAAAAGATTGAAATAACATTTTGGACCTTAAAATTGCCCACGGATGAAGCAATTATCGCTAATTTTTTTCCATGTGGATTCTGATGAACACAGTGATAAATATAACTTATTCTTCTAGAAAATTTTCATTTTACTCTCATAATAAATTGTGTTATAGGTAGCGTAATATGTTGTACAGCTGGTGTCGAGAAATTTTATCACAAGAGACTTTTATCACACATTTATTATTTTAAATTTGCTCCTTTTAACCACTGTACTTAATTTATTATATTTTAATTTTATGTCTTTTTTCATACGAGATTGACGCGTCACGTGTTGTATCTCAGCACAGCACTGATTTGTTGCCTCACACGAGACCGTTTTTAAATCAATGGCCTGTTTTGATTTTCATTATAGGGGAATATGTACGAAAGAAAAACTGTAATTCTCTCTAATATGACTATCTTAGATTCCAGATGATTTTGTCTTTAGTGGAGGTGTTTGCTTTAGAGAAATGAACTTTAGTATTAATGTTGATTTTTTGTTCTTAGAAATACTGGGTCATTTTTAGAAGTTACCTTCTTATAGAGGTGGTCACCCCAAAAATGTTTACTGCATTTTTGAATATGAAGGCTAACAAATGCAAGAAGGCATAATGTGCTTTGATAAAGCTGTAAAAATCAGATGGGAAGGGGAAATTAAAATGATTTAATGACAATAAATAAGCAATATTTTAGTTCTAATAGATGTCATTAAAATTAAATGAATAATTTAAAAAATGTCTCTTTCAAAAAGAATACAAGGAATGCATAATTAATTCTTATCTGTTTGGTTAGTAAAATACCAAATTTTCTTTCAGTATGGCATCATACTAACTAGACAGAATGTCATCACTAAGTTTGATGAAAACATACAAAAGTAGAACGCAGCAGCTCATAAACATTAGTTAAAAAAGGTGTTTAGTACAAGTTATATATTAGTTTAAATAAGGAAATTGTAAATTCACCTCTTTTGGGGAAAGTATGGACACGTAATCTTCGTAAATAAGTCGTGCCTTTTCTTCTATTAACTCAGGATTCTTCTCCCGCTTTAAATCTTCGCAAGCTAGCCAAAAAAGTATATTCTCCTCACTATACTCACAACGTAAAAAATCTCGAAATATTTTGCGACCAGCTAGGCAAAAAAGAAGAAAAAGTATTTAGGTACACTGCGTAGTTTAAAATCATTAGAATATTAAGTAGAACTACACATATAATATGTGTTTAGTCCAGTTTGAAATCAATGAACTTTACTTAAATTAAAACATAATTTGACAAAATATTCAGGAAATATAAGAGAAATCCATAAATAAATTTCGATTTAAGGACACATCTAGTGGTTTTGAAGGAACATAAAGCATGACAGTAACTCTGCAGCAAACAGCGATAAAAATTTATGATTTTTGTGTCTATGATATAACTTTAGAAATATCAGTTTAGAGGTATTTAGCAAAATTATGTTTCTGGGGTTTGCCATTAGAAGATGAGAAAAAGCTAAATAATTCCGTTAATGGCTGTGACTATGGTTTCGTGATAATGTTTTGAGTATGGTTACAATTACTTTGGCTTATTATTTTGAAGATAATTCTAAACAAAGCATGACTATATTTTTTTCCAGTAATGGAAAGCATTAGCCATTATAGGCGTTGGCCATTACCAAGACCCGAAGCAGTGGTCACTTTATTATGGAGGCAACTAATAAGTGGACCACCGATTGAAGGGACAGACATTTTACATTCATGCCTTCTCCGGGAATCAATCCCGGGCCCTTCGGTAAGGCTGTCAGATTCACTAACCATTTCCCATCTGGACGGTGACAAAGCATTTTCGAAGCATGAAGATGATAAATAAAGCTTTTTTATTCTCACATTCCATTTACGCTTACACTAAAAGTTACTTTCATCCATAATTTCATTTATAAATTTACTCTTCATTACATTACATCGCTCAAAAACAACAGTAGATCTTACAATAAAAGTTTTCACAAAGTTTTCACAGTTAAGTATTTACCTCATCTCTTAATGCCTATATATCTACAATTTTCAATACATTTTATTCAGTTTTTAAAATTATGAAAAATATTTATTATTTTTAAAGGATTCCGCCAGATATAATTTAACATATATATTAAGGAATTTACAATATATTTTAATTGCTTTTTCCAGATATATGTTAAGTATTTTGTAGTTATATTTTGAAAGCATTGTAAATTTATTTAATTATATATGTTATTTAATAATATTATAATTATTAATTAAAAATATCACTATTATTATATACAATGTAATATTATTATACAATAACATAGTACCGATGAAAGATTTTAATCAGACAAAGGATTTGATTTTGAAATGCAGTTATTATGATTGGCATAGAGTTAAATTTTTGTTATATACTTGCTTTTTCTGTATTTAATTACTTTTCAAAATACTGAAATTAAACTAACAGAGCATATTTGATGTACTGGAGGCAACATGCATTTTTTTCTTTGAAGAGAACCTTGTACGATTTTTTACTTTATGTGCTTCAAAATGGGAGCGTAATTTATGCATTCAAAAAGGAAAGCCTCTTTCATGTAACCATTGATTAATTCCACAGCAAAACCTGACTGAAAAATATTAGATGAGATCTTAGTACTGACAGCCATATGAGGCTTCTAGATGAATAATTAGGAAACGACTACATAAATCTTGAAACTCTAAACACTTAAATTCAACTTTACTGTCAACTACTATTAAAAAACTCATTATCATGTCAATTGCTCTACAACAAAAGATAAAATTACTTAATTTGCATATTTTTTGAATAGCTACAAACTGTTGTAACTTACTCAGTTTACATGTGCCAGGAATTCCATTACATCTTGAAAAGGAATTTAAGCCAAATTAATATTCCCTTCAAATATCAGCGAATTTCACCAGAACAAAAATCCAAATTTCTCTCAACTAATTTTGGAATTCAAATTCATACACTAAAGCTCCTTAAGATATCTAATTCAGTTGAATATATGTAATCTTAGGGAACGCATAATTAAGAGTACGGTAGAAATGTAAGTAGTACAAGAGGGTCATAAAATAACTTCTCCGATATATATATATAGCCTTAGCAGTCTCTTCGATCAAAAAATCGAATTTCAGGTATTATTAATTGAAGATATGCGCTCGCAATTGTGATGATTAAAAAGATTACAACTCTCGTGAGTACAGTTTCAGTCAAAACATTTCGAAATTTTAGAATGTTAAAATCCAGATTTTTCCTGTGCAAACTAATCGACGCACTAAAAAACCATAAATGGCGTTAGAACGATATACGTATGACGAAAACTGGCGGTGTAAGACATTTGTAAAGTAGGCTCGTTGCAAAGGCGCAATGATAACAAAAGAAAGGACATGGAAAAACTTTTTTTGGAATTAAAAGTTTCAATGTGCGTACCTTTACAGACAATATCGCATTGCAGACAGGAGATTATTTACGACGAATGGAACATTGCATTAAAAATCTGTAAAACTTCACGTTTTAAGGCAAACTCACGTTTTAAGGCACTTTCAATTCTGGCAAACTTCGTGGTTTTGATGTTCCTACCTTAGATTTCAGATAGCTCCAGAACCAGAAATCCATCGCAATCGGGGAATTGCGGTGGTTACGAATCTTCAAAATTAGGATTACCTGTCTTCAAAGTTAGACTCTGTCTCTAAACCGCTGTTGCAGCACTTGACGAACACACGTGGTTTGTAGACGTGTGGACCAACACGTGTGGTAGTAGGAGCACCATCTTATACCTATAACAGTGTCATTAACGACATTTCACTGCTGCACATTTGAAATTACGTAATTCTGGAAAATTGTTGTATACCGAGAACTTGTGATGGAGCACGTTATCGTACGTGTAGAAATGACGTCTTCGAAGAAGTACGGGCCAACAACTAATGTGGTTGCGATGCCGTATCAAAATACAGTCACTTTGTGTAAAAAGCGTTGGTGCCACATCCTGAGAATTTTCGTCAGACCAGAAAACGCAGTTCTTGGAATTTACAAATTGGAGTATTTCGAGTATGAAAAGTGCGTCAATGCACCTCCTCTCTGTGTTATCATTGGTGCTTTGAAATTCTCTTTGCAAATGTTTTACGCCGGCAGTCGTTCCGACGCCATGGTTTTTCAATGCGCTGGTAAAAAACTGGATTTTGACATTCTAAAATTTCGAAATGTTTTTAGCTTCAACCGTAACCATGAGATCTGTACTCTTTTTAATCATCGTAATCTCGAGCATATACCTTCAATTAACAATACCTGAAATTTCATTCGGATTGGTTGATCGAATAGACCGCTAGGGCTTCATACATTGGGGAAACGTTTTAGAACCAAACTTCATATAAGTTAATACGCGTTAAAAATATCTGCAGAATAATAGAGTAATATCTAATAAATATTATTAAAATAATTAAATTTGAAACATTGTGAGGATATGTGACTTAAATAATGAAATTATTGTATTTATCTAACAGAGTACTGCCGTTTTCAGTTATAAGGTACTAGGTTTCAAACATTTCATGCTTAATATTCATTATACCGCTTAGTTATTCAAGTAGTTATGCATGAATAGTATTTTACGTTGTATCCCAATTTTTACAAAGTACACTTACCTGCGCATTTCATGAGCCTGTCGAACGATTCACCCCATGATCGAATTTCTTCTAAACTCGGCCTAAAAAGTAAATAAAGAATAAGTAAAATCGGTATTTTAAACAAAAAATGTAATTATATTATTTGCAGACGTTACCTTGCTTCAAAAACTAGATATTTCAATAGAAAGCATTTATAAATACACTTAACGATGAATCCACCTTTATGTTTAAGAACATTTATATCTTTATGATACGTAATAACACAATGGAGAAAATCCTATATTTACAATTTTAATTTAGATGAAGAGGAGTTTTTTATTATAAATGAAACTTTCGTGGAATAGCAATATAAATGCCTTTTGAAATGAAGATGAAAATCGAAAATATCCATTTTTACCACTATCGAATGCAATTTAACGATGTTTTTGCGTGACATCTGTACGTAAGGACAGAATAAAGGATTCTTTTTCCAGCAAAAAATTAAAAGACATTTAAAATGAATTCTGATCAGATTTTTTTCGTGGTGTCGCGTAACTCAAAAACGAGTAGCCTCACAACGTTGAAATTTTGTATATAGGACTGCTATAAACATGTAGATGTGCACCTCTCATTTTTGTTGCAATCGGACGCACCAAAAGTATATAAATATATGTATATAAATATGCACTCTATTACTCGGCTAAGTGAGCTCAGATTCTTTGTTCTTATATGTTTACAAATTGTGTACTTTTGCTTTAAAAGTGATTGAATTATGTTGTTCTGGTTACGATTTTTAAGCCTTTAGTTAACCTGCATGCAATAAATGTGTCATTATCAACAATTTAAAAGTTTTTAAAGTGCGGCTAAGCCTAATTTTTTTCTAGCATGGGAGGCATATTTATTTACATTTGAGACTTAGCAGAATAAAGGATTTGTTGCCAATCTAGAGAAGCTAAGCTTCGAAACAACAAAGTAACGTCTTCTTTTATTATTGCCAATTAAATTATGCTTAATTCATTCTGGAGTATCATACAAATTATTAGCTTGTTTTTACGTAGGAACTGTAATTTTAATTGTAAAAATTGCTTTTTTAAAATTGTTTTAACTGTACTTGGTATTTTATGTTTTTCTATATGTTTCAATTTTTAATGAAAATATTTTGAATTTTTATGTATTTTTGCCTTGCCGCGAAGTGAGAACTGAATTAATTAGTAGCGCATGCGCATTAGGTAAGCGGCCCTGAATTGTCTGTGAAAAACTGTTTCTTTTTTTACTTGTTTAATTTCTTTCATACATCGTTTTAGATTTATTATAGTATTTGAATAAAACATGTGGTAATTCTTCATATGATATAATTTTTGTGCACTCTGAGTTATAAAATGAATAAGACGTAACGCTGTTAAGTGAACCTAGGGCCGAAGTGTCGTTATGGTAAATAAATATAGTGAACTTTGAAGATGCTTTATGCGCTATCGACGAAGCAGATTTAATTCAAAATTCGTTAACTGTTAATTCAATATGTTTAAATGAAATGCAGGAAAATTGCGCATAATTTAATATTCCGGACAAGGAAGTCATGTGGTGTACACGTCAGAATTTTTAGCTTAATATGTAATTTAGTACATTTATTTGATTTGAACGAAAAGTAAATACTACAGTTTTCCGAGACGGAGAAGCTGCATTTAAAAAATAAAACCTGAACTATGATTTCATGAAACAAATATTTTGACGATATGGACGAAGAAACTGATCAGTTTTACACATGTTAATCTTTAAGCAGATGTTATTCTATCAGTTGGGGTTTGCTCAACATTTAAAATATTGAGATATAATAAATGTGATAGGGATTCTGGCTTATTATTGCATACAACAAATAATCAAGAAACAATACTAACGCAAAACTGCTCAAAAAATAGGAAAAGCAAACTTGGATCGTCGGACATTGTACATAAAGCTTTAACTATAATGATATCTAATCAGTTTAAGAACGAGATTTTAGACTCATTCAGTATTCCAAATAGATATAAAATCTATAAGGAATAAAATCTTGGAAAGTTGTACCGAATATGTAAAAAGTGTAAAAATTATCTTTGGATTTAATACTCCGTGTTTCCTCGCATATCGCCTCTTTTTACTTCCTTATACGAAGTAAAGGAAGTATTGTAATCACGAAAAATTCCGGGTTTCATATTTCAAAGAAAATATCTATTTTGACCGCTATCGAATGCAATTTAACGAAGCTTTTGAGTGACATGTGTACGTAAGGACTCTTTTTCCCCAAACGAATTAGAAAACTGATTTAAAATGCATTCAGAAGAGATTTTTTTCGTGGCGTATGTACCTACATACGTATGTATCTCGCATAACTCAAAACGAGTAACATCAGAACATTGAAATTTTGTACAGAGGACTGCTATAACATGTAGTTGTGGCCTTCCTTTTTAGTTGCAATCGGCTGCACCAAAAGTATATACCGTATATACCCGCGTATAAGTCGAGATATTTTGGGCAAAAAAAAGACTTCAATGTGGGGGGGGGGTCGACTTATACGCGGGGCCATAAAAAATTAAAAGAATCGGAAGTTCAAAAATTTCTTTGTATAATGCAGTTGTTTTCTTCCCGCCATCGAATTGGACGACTTATCAATAAGTCACTTACTTGAAGTATTTCATGACTTAAATTATGTGACGAACTACAGTGGTGGCCAAAACTGTGGACACTTTTGGAAATTTTTATGTTTTTGCCCCCTGAAAAATGCGAATGCCTGCGAATACCCTCTGAATGATTATAAATCATTTAAAAAATGTATATAGCAACGAACTAGAACGGCACAGATGATAGATGATACTGCTTTTGAAAGTGAAAATGATGACGAAGGCTCTAGTAGTGATTGTAACGAATCCAGAGTTCGAGACTGAAAATATGTATGAATGACGAGCCAATGATGACAGAAAGAGTTCTATGAAATGTTTGACGAATCTGACCATGAATCAGACGTTGAAGGATTTTGATTTTGTTTATTTACCAAGGTATCTTTTTATCGTATATTTACTTTTTTTCTCAGATGATTTGAATAAATGTAGTACTTAAAAATTTTTTTCGAAGTTTCTCGATCGATTTCGGAAGTGGGGATCGACTTATACGCGGTTTCTTATTTTCTACGAATTTTTATGTCGAAGTGGGGGGGGGTCGACTTATACGCGGTATCGACTTATACGCGAGTATATACGGTACATAATTGCAAAACAATTTTAAAATATATATAATATAATCATGCCTAATATTTTCGAGCATTAAGCTGCTGAAACATTATCAGGAAAGACATAAAATAAAATTTGCATACAATAGTTGAGGAATTATCAATAATTTAACAGTTGCTTAAGTAGTGCGGCTAAGCCTATTTTTTTTTTTTACTATAGGCGCCATATTTGCTTACATTGCTAAACTTAGCAGAATAGTGAATTAAGTCTTTCTGCACCTTTAGTGTTTTTTTTGCCGAGTGGGACAAAAACAAAAAAATCTGCCTTCTTGCCTGTTGACCGAATTGCTTGTTTTTCTTGAAACTGTAATTTTAACTGTAAAAATTGTTTTTTAATCGTTTTAACTGTATTTTGTGTTTTATATTTTTCTCTATCTTTCAATTTTTAATGAAGACATTTTAAGGTTTTATATGCTTTTGCTTTGCCACGAAGTGAGAACTGAATTAATTGAATGAGAGATATATCCCTAATGAAATTCGAGGAAATAAGTTTAAATGAAATGCAGCAAAAAGTATGTATAATTAAATATTCCGTACAAGGAAGTAATGGGGTGTCTGCCACAGATTATTTTACTAATTTTCCTGTTTGAAAATCGATATAGAGCAAAATATGCGAGTAATTTAATTTCCGAAGGACATGGTTGCAGTATGAACATAACAAATAAAAAGTAGTCATGGATAACCTACAGGTAACTATCACAATATTGCTTCTTTAAAAGAAACCTACGTACCAGCAAAAATGCATAATAATATTAACGTAACAATATGTACTAAGAAGATATTTTCATTTCGGCTTCCATGAAACTTGAATCGCCCTCGTTCTTATTGTTGTCTCTGCTACTCCTTAGATCTTAGATCCTCTGTAAGAAATTAGAGAAGTTGAATGTTCAGTTGACTTAAAGATAGCCTGAATGTCAATTCGTGTTTGCTTCACTGTGATTGGCCAATTCTTGTATTCAGCTGGCATAAAAATTAAGAGCTTGATAGTGAAATGCTCCGTGTGACCTCCGCAGGTATTTTTCGAGGGTTTGTTAGTAAGATAAAAACTAAGTGGATGAATCAATTTAAAATTTAAGAGATCTTGTTCTCTGATGTATTGAGGAAGGGGGAAATAACGCGAAAATTTTTTTAATTTTTAGAACTAGGGCTATGAAACCAAGGCGAAAACATGAGAGGAAATGCGGTAGATGAAGAATCTTAAAAATTACTGTAGAAATTGATAATAATTTAAAAGTATTTTTAGAATATACAATTCACTTTTAAACTGTAAGCATTATGAATTATATTTATTCAGAATCAAAAAAAGTAGAATGTTTAATTAGAGCCATTAGAATCCCTATTTTGAGCAGAATTCTGACGCACTGGCTTTCCAATCTAAAGAACGTTACTAAAGATAGTTTAAAGACCGTTGCCAATAAGCTATTCTGTCACCTTTTTTTAAACGACTAAGAGATGAGCGTTATGTTTATGGTCCATTATATATTTCTGGTTTCCGAAACCTAAGCATTTCAGCTGTAGAGTTTCTAATAATTTAAAAAACATTGGGTCATATAAAAAGTCTCCGCATTTTTTTGCCACCAGATGGTGTTGATGCCTATACATCTGGCAACATTCACCCCATTGTCTCAAATGAACATACGCGTTAAAGGTGACATTCAGCTTCCATTGTTTGCGAAAATAGTTTTATAATTCATTGCTTGTGTAAAAAGTTATATTGATTTGAAAATGAGTAAAATATCTGAAGAAATAAGTTATATGATGCTTTTTTTACTATAAAAAAGGCAAAAAGGCTGCAAAAAATGCCGAAAAATTTGTGAAGTATATGGTGAGAATGCTGTGAATGAGCGAAGGACTCAGAAGTGGTTTGCTTGATTCCGTTTCGGAAATTTCGATATCAAGGATGCACCTCGCTCTGGTCAGCCAGTCACTGAAAAAGTCGATGAAATTTTGTAACTGATGGAGCAAGACCGGCACCAAGCTGTCAGGAAATAGCAGAGGCACTAAATATCAACCACATGACACTTTGGAATCATTTGAAAAGAGTAGGTTACAAAAAGAAGCTTAATGTTTGGTTGCCACATAAGTTGCAACCTGTCAAAACCATCAATTCGGCCCTTTACTGTACACAACTGGACCGTTTGAACGAAGCAATACAGAAAGAGCGAGCAGAATTGACCAAAAGGTGGTGTATTGAGAATACGGCAAAGCACACTAGGGCTATCTGCCTAAGGAGAGGGATACCTATGTGGAAGGGCTTTCCTACAGGGAAACTGTCTCGTATACACGTTTACACATGAGGGAAAACCACGAAAACGCCGATGCAGCCAGCCCGGTCGCGGGATTTGAACCTCGAACCAAACTACCAGTATTCAGCGATTTTACCGCTCGGCCGCTGGTGGACCAAATTGACCAAAAGAAAGGGAGTTGTGTTTCATCATGACAATGCGCGGCCACACCATCTTTGATGACTTGGAACAAATTGACGGAACTTGGTTGGGAAGTTTTGATGCATCTACTATATAGAGGCCCGAACCTTGCAACGTCTGATTACCATGCGTCTGACTTCTTAAGTCTCCGCAAAACTCTCTTGATGGTAAAAAATTGGCCGATCGAAGAGCCGCTGAAAATCCCAAGTTTTTTTGACGATAAACCACAGAAGTTCTACACCGATGGAATTAGGAAGCTCCCCGAAAAGTGGCAAAAGATCATAGATAATAATCATTAATATGTACTTGATTAAAAAAGATTTTCAATAAAGAAAAATTTTTTTTTCAAATATGTACCAAAAAAGTGCGGAGACTTTTTATATGACCCAATATTTCTAATATTCAAATTCATTTAATATCAAATTCATTTTAGTAAACCAAAAACTTATTTTAATAATGTTTATTCAGGGTTAAAATTACAACGTTTTTACGCTCCAGTACACTTGTTTGTCCAGGGGCCACAATGTTGTCAACACGGCACTGTCACTGAATAGCCAAAAGGGACAGTCAGAGAAAACCTCCGAATTTAGTTCTTATTTAGATACATTCTGAAAACTATTTCCCCCCAAACCCAACAAATAAGAAGTAAGAATGTGTGACATATTTACATTATTTACATGTGATATTACAATAAAAGTAATACGGAATAAAGCAAAGAAGTTTACATTCCATGAGCACAGTACCATTTAATTAAGAATTTCTAAATGGATCCGAAAAAACTACTTAAACAATCATATTTGATTTCATATCAAAACTACTGATTAACAGTTAAATACAAATGTTATTATAAAACCTTATAATTTAAATGTTGCTTGTATTCATTGGATAGATGCAAGTTATTTACCAGTTTCATAATTTTAAAGGAAAATGCATTCATTGGCAACATTGTATTTCACATCTAGTTTTGGCAACAATAAAAAAAAATTCTGAACTTGGATTTGAAAACCAAATGTATGAGAAACTTCTATTGTATAAAAAAATCCATTTTGGACAGGATTTATGTAAATTCCGTTCTTAGTGCGCGTCTGAATTTTACATTTCATCAATAAAATTTGATGAAGATACATCTCTATAAAATGTTTTCTCACCAAAGAAAAATTTGGAAAAAAAAAAAAAATCTCATCACACCAAACGTAGAACCACAGAAAGTGAAGATTTCCTTCAGTTTAAAAGTACCTATAGCCAAATATAAATATTTCAATACTTACGGCGCTTCGTCACTCCCGTTAAAGAAATTATCTCCAGGTGCAGAGATCGGTTGCATATTACCGGTGGTTTTATCTTTCGTGGGGCGCACAGAAAGGCTGCGGGAAAGAGCAGAAACACACCTAAAATAAATTCAGTCGTGATGTGATCTTCAATTATAATTTTTTTGGGGGTAAATTGATTACGCACATAAAAAATAATCAGCTAGTTTGGAAAACAGCCTAAAATATAACATAGAAAATGATCGTACTAAATTACCTTTACGTCAACAGCCTGTTTGGATAGAATGGACATTACTTTCAGATACTGCGATATTCAATACTCACATCTAATTACGAAATGATGCTAATATTGGGATACACTTAAATAATACCTTTTTTCTCCTTTTAAGGGTTTTATGATTTCACTTCAAGCAGCTGACTAATGATCGAGAAACAGATTCGTATAAATATTAAACATCAGATAACGTAAAATGACGCAAATGATTATTTAACGCTGTATGATGACGAAAAAGTAAAAATAAAACCTTAATTCCCATTCAGATAAAGAGTTATTCAGACTGCGCAAAATAATTCGCGTTCAAATAAAGAGTTATACAGACTGTGTAAAATAATTCGCATTCAGATAAAAAGTTGTACAGAGCAAACACTGAATGAAGTCACATAAAGAGCATCGCTTTCAGATTATATATTACGTCCAAAGGGGCGTTTTTTTTAACGTTTTTTGTGTTACTTTTATTTATTAAATATCATGTTTTCGCATTTAAACTATAAAATTCAATTTAACAGCAATATCGCAAAATATGTAAAAAGAGGATATCGTTGAGTTCGTTAATCAAAAATTCGTTAACGTTTAACAAAATGTGAAATAAATAATAAAACCAGTTTCGAATTCCAAATTTGGGCTTCCAGATGCCAATATTCGAGTGGAGGACTACGTTATTCAAAATTTGACTTTTCTAGGTACCGTTGTTGTTTTCTTACACTGCGAGAAACATACATACATTCATGCAGATGCTTCATTATTTAATTTCTTTAAATAAAATGCAAGGCTATAATATTTGGTGGTAACAATTTGAAAAGTGAAACGCCGTTTTATAGTGGACGACGCAAAATGCCCAAAACGAAATTAATAGCCCTTCTGGGCAAATTCTCCTTTGAGCTAAAAACTGTCGAAACGCCAACCGTATAGAAAGATTTATAAAGGTTCAAATTTTGTAAATGACCACATTAGAATGTTTTTCAGAGAACTTTAAATGCTTAATTTTATTTAAAGTAATGAATTAAAAATGTTTGATTCCTTTCATTAAATAGCATTATCATAAGGAAAATATCTTGTTTTGGTCAGAGTTAAGCCCCACCGAAAAAGTTTTCAACTTAAACAATGATGCTGAATTTATATCTATATCAAATAATGTTCATAATGTATTTTAAGCTATAGGTGTCTAAAGGTTCTGGAGAATTTAGAGCAAGTACCCCAATAAAAGAGCATTCCCAAAACGGCTCTCAGTTTAAGAGGATTTAGCTTCGACTCTCAAGTGGCTCTTCGACTATCGAAGTCAATTTAAAAAGAAATTCTACAAGGGTGCATGAGGAGAGGCAAAATGTATCTTAATAAAATAGACGTCGTACTTTTCTGTTTTGCCGGCGCAGGCGATAAAGTCGCCAATAATGGTACAACTTATGTCAAACGGAATATCTTCGCAGGTAACCTACGCCTCACTTTCAAAAAAAGTCGCAGTCATTTCTTATCAGATTGATTGTTTTTTCAATACTGGCATACAAATTACGTAGAAATTTTACCCAGATAGTTCAATTTTATGCTCTAGGGCCATTCGCGGTAATTAAATCTATTAAGATGCAATCACACCACTCACCCGAAGGCGAAAATATAAAAAAAGGCAAAGTCAAGGGTTAAATTCATCCATTCTAATGAGAATGCACTAGCGAAGTAAAGCACTGCGGTTTTACATAATTTCTGAGTAAGCTATTCGTAGAAATTGCTATGATTCTTGCATTTAAACTTGTATTCCAAATTAAGATTTAACTTGAAATTAATGTAGATAATTACTGAGAGAATTAGATTTTTATAGTGCAGTTACGTGAGATGAGATCACGGGTCACGTGATTAACCGGCGAATCAGGGGGTGAATCAGAAGCATAGTAATTATTAAATTAAAATCTTTTTACAAATTTATTGTCTTTATTTATTGGATTTTTACAAAATTTTAAACGATATTAAAATGTTTATGCCTTCAAAATAAAAAAATACTTAGAACTAATATTTGTTAACATTTTTTATGTGTATACGGTATGCTGTCGCCAATAAAGTCAGCTTGGCGAGATTTGCGACGGCGAAACGGAAAAGTACCGACGAAAACAAAAATTTGGCAGAAATGTAAATACTCACATCTAAAATGAGCTAATTTCTTAATATTCTAATGTAACTATAAATCTTATATTTATCTCATTCTTATGTAGGATACTCTTTATTAACTTTCTACCCGGTATCAGTACGTAATATTGTGAACTCCAAATTAACAGAGAGTCTAAAAATTTAATCCCAGTCTGTTAGAAATGAATTATTTACATTTTGCAAACTGAATAAATAAATCCAACAGCAGATCCTGTGTGAGTCCTTTGATTCAAAGCTTTGAAATTCAATTTCATATTGGAAGCAATTTTAGGGAAGTATGAGATATACTTAAGGAAATCCAATCCAATACTTGAGGAAGAGGGGTCTGTATTATGCTTTATCGAAATAATGTAAAACTCTTCCCTAAAATGTCTCTCTTCTGTAATCAACTGAGAGCAAGTCCCACTCTATGCGAAACTGCGACTATACTGAAATTACTATTAACCTCAATTTATTTCAACGCCAGCAGCAATACCTTTCTTTTTAAGGATTTTTATGCATTTGAGATTTATACCAAAATTATTTAAATAAATAACAGCATTCTTTCATTTTAAATATTTAATATGATTTCTATAAAAAAAAAGGAAAATTATTCGACCAGTGCCACACTTGACTTAGTATTTCATGTGTAAACTTCTAGGCATTAAATTTGCTATATTATGATGGAAAGCAAATAGCAGAATTTTTTTATTGTAGTACATATACAGTATAATGGGAAGAAAACATGATTAAATTTGCAGGTAATTTGAGATACACAGCAGAATTCAGTACACAAAACTGAATCTTCTGCCAGCAACAATGGCTGTAATCCAGTTGGACATAGAGTCGAATTTAGCTTGGATTACAGATACGGGTACACCCTTCCATGTGGCTGCTGAGCTGTGGCTTCCAGTCTCTCGACAACTTATAACCAGATGTTTTCAGTGGGGCAGAGATCTGAAGAACGTGCTGGCCAAGGTAACGGTCGAATGTATCGAAAAAGGTCAGAAAAGCATAGGCAATATGTGGTCATGCATTCTTATTGAAAAATGACTTCACGCAGGCCTCTTAGATAGGCACAGCCACGGGCCTTAACAAGTCAGAAATTTCACGACGTGTTGCCAATCCTGGGTCGAGTGTCGTCGTTCATCGCACTACTGTAAACGTACTTGTATCTGCTGCATCGTCAAGGGTAGCCGCAACAATGGTCCCGTACTGACAGCCCATGGTGCTACAAATGTCAACGCACTGTCTCTGCGGACACTTACCGTCCTGCTTATGAGTACGTGACGGTGCTGCACGATCCTACAAGGCCAAGGTAACAAAAAGTGTTTCCTCTCAAGCGATGGAGTTTTGGGACGGCAAATATCTTGCAAGGTGCTCATTTAACTCTTCTGGACAACACAGTTCCATATACGCCTGAGGATCTTGGGATTCCGCCTAACACGTGCAGTAATGTCCGCAGTTTCAATAAGCCAATATCCTACCACGGTTCCATTCCGACACTTGCTGAGGCTTTTCTTCTTCTCATATGAGGCATAACCCGACCTTTACACAAAAAACTTCTAATGCGATTTCCAAATGAGAAAACTGTTTCCCAGTCTTTCCATCTATACACAGTGTAGAAGGCATTACTTTTATCTGCTTTGTGCGCATGCTCTGGAATGCTAATGATTTGCATGTCCCAGCACATAGTACCTCTCATGCAAATTTGACGTTTGTTACGTACCGCCTTTATGTGCATCAATTTTTATGGCCAACAGTGTCAGTGGATTACAACAATAAATTAACATAATTAATAATATTAACATTACTTACAACAATAGAAAGTTGATATTGTTAGGCGGTAAGACATTAGCAATGCAAAGCTTTTTATTTTACTAATCAATAAACTTTCTAATTTTATATCCTATCCTGAAAATTAATCATTAAGAATGATATTCCTCAGTATATAACAGTAACTCTGAGCATGAATTATTAATTATTTGGTTCATCTCAACTCTGTCTTTAATCAACCTCTGCTTTCTATCTTTTTATTAACCTCTGTTATCTATATTAGATGTCTGGCTCCCAAATGAGTTGCCGGCAGTGTTTCAATTTCACTTTTGTTGCAGTGTTTTGTTAAAAAAAAGTCGAATTTCTGGAGTGAGTACTTTAATTTTGAGAGCACTTTATTAATTAAGAAATCCATGCAGTCAAGTCTCTATGATTGCTGCAATGGATTTAATAGATTTATAGAAAAGCCCACTAAGGTTATCTGCCTCTGGAAAAGAGATCCTTGGGAAGGAATATCTAAGATAAAACTCGCGTCAGGAAAAGAGATGCCTTGAGAAGAAATACCTAAGCCAAAACTATCTTCACGTTAGACATAGAAAAACAGCGAAAACAACAATCCGACAAGTTCCGGCTAAAATGGCTAGTTCTTCGTGGTTTGAGCCCGAATCAATGCCCTAGTATTCAGCTGTCGTTTTCGCTTGGCCACTGGACACCGACTTTATGGATATTAGTTAAATTACTTGAAGCTTTTATTTATAGCTATTTAGAAACTGTGTTTTATATGCTTACCGATTGCACATTATAAAGCTTCTCTTCACTTTTAGATGGCATTAAGAGAGAATTTTAGTATAAACTTAAATTGTTTTATAATTATATTGTTCATTTATAGACATATTATTCGCGTGGTTACTTAAAATGTACTATTGTGTAAAGCGACGAGTCGCTAAGGTCA